ATGAAAAGAATTGTTTCAGTCCTAGAAAATGAACTTTCATATTATTGTTCTTTTTACTTCATGTATTCATAATCAGTAAGAATAAATTATGTGATTAATGTTATTTATAAAATGTTTGCAGAGATGAGTCGTATTATGCATCCACGCGGGGAACCATCATCTTCGAGGGATGTTAGTGGGTCTACCATTTCTACCGCTGCTGGAGGTGGAACTTATCAGGAGGAAAGGAATACAAGAGGGACAACACAACTTACAAGACCTAGGAATTATAAGAGGATTGAGATATCTCCCAGGGGAGATGCATATGTAGCTCCTTACATCCCTTTATTTATCTGTTATGTATAAAATTTGTATTGCACTATATATACTAATGTGACGTCTTGTATATAGGGGTTTCGCTTACACACATTTCAAGCCAAAGATGGAACGACAAACAGGTTCTGTGCTTGGTACATCTTTAAGACGAGAGTATCCTGGGTTGGTTAAAGAATATGCAGGTCCTGGACAACGTAAAAGAAAGAGATTGGCCATGTCATGGGGTCACTACTTTGGGGAGAAGGATCATAATGGCATGACAGCTGGTAATAGAGTAAAAGATGAATTCTGGGTATGTGTTTTCCTCAAAAGATTTTACTGTATTGCTAGAAAAAGTGTTAGAAGTTCAATCTACTATGGTACCATTCCAAGTATTAGGATTGCATAGCTTTCTGCAATACTCACATAGCTATGTAGGGACACCACATAATATAGTAAACACTTATTTCCCCCCTTTTTTTTTCCAGTCATTCTTCACTACCCAAGAAGAAGACATGGAGGAGCTGGACAAGAATATTGACAACTATTGTCAAGCTAGAGTTCCAAAGATAATTTGCCAGGCACGTGTAGATGCTATGAAGAAGTACTATGGTAAAGGGATCAAAGGAAAAAATGCCAGCGCCATTGAACTCAATTTTGAGCAGTACATGACATGCAAATTAGATTGGATTAATGTGGACGCTTGGAAGTGCTTTTGTCACTGGTGGACATCAGATAAGTACAAGGAGAAGCGCAAAAGAGGTCAAGATGCACGTTTTGCTAATGAAGACTATGCTCAACAGCAGGGAGGATCTCTTCCATTCTGCACTATACAACAAAACCTGGTAAATAAATGACAATAGTTCATATATAGTATCAACACTTTTGATTGTTTTTTTTTCATCACATGTTGTTCATTGCTTATAGGTGTATCAACTTGGACCAGAAAATGCAAGTGGCTTGGATACCTACAGAGTTCAAATGGCTGGCTTTAAAGCCTCACTCAAAGGGTCTGGCCAAATCCGCAGCGAGAAAGTCAAACAAAGAATTGTGAGTTGGTTCCTGAATAGTTCTCAGCATCACATTTTATAGATCCTTGCTGCATTTAAGTGAGAGTCAAGTTAATAAGTCAAGTCAAGAGTCTTTAAGTAGTAAGCCATTAGTTGAATTATTTCCTTATCTTAAGCTTAGTGTGTGTAGTTCAGTGATCCTACCAAGAAACCATACTTACTTTCTCATTTTTATAGAATATTTACTGCCAAGTTTATCACGAAGAACGTGGTGAGGAGCATCAACCTGTGAGCAGTGAGTTAGATGGGAATGTGGTATATAAAGCTTTTGGTGGACTGAAACATGGACGGTTTGCAATGGGCAACGGAGTTTTCAAGAAAACTGAAGTTCTTGCTGCTGTTAAACATAAGAAATCTGGAATATCTGGATCTACGAATTCTTACAATGCTGTAGTGCGTGAGAATGCACAACTTCGCCATGAAGTGACTGAACAGCGTGGAATGATACGTGAACAGCGTGGAATGATACAAGAACATCGTGGAATGCTAAAGGTAATAACTACTAAATTAATCTCTGATTCATTTATTTTTTTTCCCCTCACAGAAAAATCCAATTAGCAAATTTAACTTGCATGCCTATAGGCAGTATATGAGAAGCTTGGAATGGACATACCTGAGGAGGTACTTTCAAGGTGGGAGTCACAAAGAGAGGTACATTTGCTTTGACAAATGTATAATTTGTTGTTTCAATGATTTATTGTAGTAGAGCGTGAAACTGATGTCTTTACTGTTAGTGAACAATGGTTGCTCACAATGCATGGATGGATGATTGAATGCTAATATAAAGTCTGCAAGATACATTTCATTTATTTATTTCCAGTATTTTCATACATAGCATGGCATGTTTTCTAAATGGTTTACCTAGCATACATATATACTGCAATATCTCCATTTTTCTTCAATTTGTTGTCTAGCATGCCCTCTTTTGTATCCACAAGACTCTGGAATTAAGTTCTTTTGCCGGCACAATGTTCCCTTAACAAAACCAGTCCAATCTCCAATTATTAATCTTTTAGCATGCTTCAATATGACTATGGCCTATAAGCAATATTACTTATGCTTTACCATATGTACCGATGACTAATTGTTTGTTTTCTCTCATCTGCTTATTTCATTTAAAGGATTCTGAATTAGATGTGGACTGTTCTGAGGGGTCTGAAGAGTATGAAATAGAGGAAGAAGAGTGTGAAACAGAGGATGAAGAATATAGAACATAGGAAGAAGAGGAAGAAGAGTGTGAAACAGAGGAAGAAGAATACAGAACATAGGAAGAGTCATACATGTCAATAGGATTGTGTTTTTGCTTCTAGTGAAAGGCCACTGGGCCGTGATATCTACGGAATTACTATTCACTTCAACATTGTTGTTTGTCTTATACAATATTTTGTTGAGACCTGTACACACTTATGGATGTGGGTGCGCATGAATGGGTGTTAAATTATGATATGTTTTTTTTTACTTGAAAATTGATGGTGGACATGCATGATCTTGTGCCATGCTACTTTCTTACATCTATTACCGTTGTAGATTAAGTATTGACGTATTAATTATACACCCATTTGTGGATCTGTTTTGTGGTGGCAACCCAGTCACCAAAGGTATTTTCTAACAGCCAAAATCAGTCAAAGAAATAATGTTTTGTGACTGCTATTGTCTTCACGAAAAACTTTTCCTTACAGCTAAGGAACGACTGTCGGGAAAAATGACCAAAACAGGAAAAATGATGGGATTGCCTTTTGGTGACTGCTAGACAGTCACATGGTGACTTGTGACAGCTTTCCGTCACAGAACATTAGATTTCGTGACCAACCAAGTGTGACGGGTGTTTCGTGACGGCGCGTTCTCACGAAAAATCTTAGTGACAGTCTTATGCCATTCGTTACAGTGAGGGGCAGTCACCAAAATTCCGTTCTCTTGTAGTGGATGGGCCGCCGCCCTCCGGCCGACACAACCTCGCCACCCTCGTCGGCGGCGCCGGCGCCGGCGCCGCCTCCGCCGGTGAGCACCCCCCCCCCCCCCAAACACTTCCGCAGTTTGTTCATCTTGTCGCAAATCGTTGACTTGGTCCGCCGGGCAGGTTCCTGTGGTCGGTGTGCGCCACGGGAGTTCGGTGGATTAAACCACTTGGGGTTCTTCTGCTCGGTTGTTTTGACGGCTAGTTCAACTGCTGCGGCTAATCAAGCCCTTGTTGATTGAGCTCAGTGCTCACCAAGCACTGTTTTTTAATCTGTTTTTCATATTCTGGAATCGCAGTTCTCCTTCTTCGTTTTCGTAACGAGAAAGGATTAGTCAAGTTTGGGGAAATATATACTACTATCTGGATTATTCTTGACTATTGAGTTACTTGGATTAATGCAGGGAAGGAATGCAACAGCAATGCAGCATCACGGGGACAGTACCAGAATTTCCATGAAATTCCACCGGTAACAATAATTTTCAGTCAAGATTTTTCATGAATTCGAACTACTTGCTTGAGTTTTCCTGTTGCTGATATTCGACTGGCACCATATCGCGCAAGAACCATGTTATATATGGAGATGGATTCTAATAGCTCGAGTGGACGTCCATCCGTTTATTACATGCCAACTAGATGGTTACAAAAAATTGACAAGATAAATCAATATGTAATATATCACTCCACAAACATGCAAGTTCAAATTCAACTTCTACAAGTTGTAGAATTTGAATTTTAACTTGCATGTTTGTGGAGTGATATATTACATATTGATCTATCTTGTTCATATTTTTTCAATTTTTTTCATAATTATTTAAATGATATGCAATAAACGGGTAGACATCCACTCAAGTTGTTAAAACAGTTTCCCTGTTATATATATTCTCTGGATCATTCTTGACTCTTGAGTGAGTTGGTTGAATCAGCGGAGGACGGTAACTATATTGCAGGGCAGTTGTAGCGTAGTACTAACACCTCTTGTTTAATTTCAGTTCAGTTAAGATTTTTCTGGAATGCTAACTACTTACTTGAATTTTTACTGTTGCTGGAACTTTGTATATTCCACCTACGTAACAGGGCACAAGAAGCATGTTATATATTATCTACAAAAGCCCAATGCAACTGTAGAGAATTCATTTACCTGGTCTAACATGTACATGCAAATTTATTTGTGATTAACATCACTGCTTCTGCATAAAATTGTTCTAGGTGCTCGTACATAGATTAAACTGTTTCAGGATGATGCTGATTTTAATAACCTTACAATTTACTTGAAGTCAGCATCACCGGTATGTACTAGCTGCTCCTTATGACTTTCCTAGTAGCCGCTTGGTGGTCACTGGTCAGCATCACTAACATGTATTAGTTGGTCCTTATGACTTTTCAGGCCCAAATCAACTTCAAATTCTGGTTTTTCTGCAGCCTGCAGGTAACCACCCATTTCTCACTTCCTGCCACTTTTTTTTTCTGCTGAAAGGGGATAATTCCAACCATGGAAATAAAATTCGATCTAAAACAACACCGATGCTTTATATTTGCAATTTCCAGGAACATTATATGGCCTTATCCTGTATTCCTGTACTCCTGCAGTTTTGCCACCGTGCAATAGTTTTTTACAGACTCATAGGAGCTTGTTGAATATTGCAAAAAATATATTTTAGTCGCATGCTTAGGGGCAACACCGTAAAAGCTCATTCCTTTTGGATTGGAGCAAGGCCAGGCATTGACTTGACCCAAACGCCATTTTCCTTATATCAGTTTCTTGATCTGAAGATTATGTTTTAGTATTTCTCTTTGAGTTCATGATGGCTTCCTCACTATTCTCCTACTTTTTTGGGATGAAATCCAGAATATTATCACCTGCGCTTCCTCAACAATCATATCTGTCATCAGCTGAACTACCATCTCTGACTGATCATGTCAACGAGGAGGTGGCCAAGCTGGACAGAACTGTGCGCCGAATCACCGCGGTGTTGGTTGATGCAGATGAAAGGGAAATCGCTGACGAGACTATGAAGCTTTGGATCTCTGAGCTCAAGCAAGTGACATGGGAAGCTGAGGGGATACTTGAAGATTACAGCTATGAGTTGCTCCGCAGCACCACCGTCCAGGAAGAGAAGGTAACAGACTATACAGACTTTCGACCAAACAATCCCTCTTTTCAACAGAATATACTAGACAGGATAAGCAAGGTTAGGAAATTTCTTGATGAGATCTGTCGTGATCGTGTAGATCTTGGGCTAATTGATCAGGAAGGATTGTGTAGGAAAGAATCTAGGATTAGTAGGTGCACCAGTTCTTTGCTTGATCCATTGGAGGTCTACGGCCGGGAGGATGAGAAAAAATTAATAATATCTTCTTTGCTTGATGGGTGCCTTACATTTAAGAAGAGAAGATTGAAGGAACATGAATATGAAACTTGTAAAGCTGGTGCTGTAAGGCTTATTTCTATAGTTGCCATGGGTGGAATGGGGAAGACAACACTAGCTAGGCTCGTCTATAATGACGCAAGGGTTCAAAATCACTTTGATATACAAGCATGGGTTTGGGTTTCAGAAGTATTCGATGAAGTCAGACTAACCAAAGCAGCAATCGAGTCGGTCACCGCTAAACCCTGTGATCTGACTGAGCTAGAGCCACTCCAGAGGCAATTGCACGAGGAGGTCAAGGGTAAGAAGATATTGCTTGTGTTTGACGATGTTTGGAATGAGGACACCATCAAATGGGAGACGATGAAACGGCCATTTTCTGCTGTTGCTACAGGGAGCCACATGATCATCACTACTCGCAACGAGAATGTCTCCACAATTGTGCAGGCGAAGAAGGTAATTCATCTAGGTGGGTTGCAAAAAGATGACAGTTGGGCGTTGTTCTGTAAATTGTCATTCCCTGACAATGCTTGTAGAGAAACAGAGTTGGGACCAATCGGGCGGAAAATAGTAGAAAAGAGTGATGGAGTGCCACTAGTCCTGAAGACTCTAGGTGCAATGTTATCTTTAGACACAAGCTTGGAGTTCTGGAATTATGTACTGACAAGTGATCTCTGGGAGCTGGGCCCTGGATGGGACCACATCCTTCCAATTCTGAAATTGAGCTATTACAGTCTGCCTGCAATTCTGAAGCGATGCTTCACATTTCTTGCTGCCTTTCCGAGAGGTCACAAATTTGACTTAGAGGAGCTGGTCCATATGTGGTGTGCTTTGGGTTTCATTCAGGAGGACGGTGTGAAAAGGATGGAAGAAATTGGGCACTTGTATGTAAATGAATTGGTTCGGAGATCATTTCTTCAAAATTTGCAGTTGGCTGGTTCACGGGAGAAGTTTGTCATAGTGCACGACCTCATTCATGACCTTGCTAAATCAATTGGGGGTAAAGAGATCCTTGTCAAAAAGTGTTGTGGTTCATCTGTTGGTGGTTGCAATACTAGTGCCAATAATCATCTTCGATATTTAGCTGTTCTTGTTGGAACAACGCCCTTCTACTCAGACAATAAATTGGTGCCTTTTACTCTTCCGGTTGCTGGACACTTTCCCCTAAGATCACTGTCTTTTCAGAGTAAATGGAGAACTTATCTCAGAAGCTGTGTTAGAAATAACTTGAGGACGTTCTTTCAGGTGCTTGTTCAGAGCCAGTGGTGGTATAACCTTGAAGGTTGTCTGCTGCATTCACCACACCTGAAGTATCTACGAATCCTGGATGTATCATCAAGTGATCAGATCAAGCTGGGTAAATCGGTGGGGGTTCTTCATCATCTCCGCTACCTTGGGATCTGTCAGAGAGAAATTCCGGAGGCTATTTGCAAAATGTACAAGCTGCAGACTCTACGAAACACATACCCTTTTGACACGATATCTCTTCCCAGAAATGTGTCGGCACTGTCCAACCTGCGTCACCTTGTTCTTCCGAGAGAGTTCCCTGTCACAATACCATCAGGAATCCACCGGCTGACCAAACTTCAGTCACTATCAACATTTGCAGTGGCCAATTCAGGGAGCGGAGCTGCCACGCTGGATGAAATCAAGGACATTAACACTCTTCAAGGGCAGCTCTGCATCATGGATCTCCAGAACATCACACATGACAGAATTTGGGAACCAAGGAGTGCAAACCTGAGCAAGAAAAAATTAACTCGCTTAGAACTAGTGTGGAATCCTCTGCCTTCCTACAAAAGCGTACCCCATGATGAGGTTGTACTGGAATCCCTGCAGCCTCACAACTACATCCGACAACTCGTAATAAGTGGTTTTAGAGGATTGAACTTCTGTTCATGGCTAGGAGACCGGTCCTTGTTTAGTTTACAAGAACTGGAGCTGTGCAAGTGCTACTACACTGATCATCTACCACCACTTGGACAATTGCCAAACCTGAAGCAGCTCAAGCTGACGAGCCTGTGGAAATTGAGAAGCATAGGGCCTGAGTTCTACGGCGATTGCGAGGCCCCATTTCAGTGTCTTGAGACATTGGTGGTACAGAACCTGGTTGCATGGGAGGAATGGTGGCTACCTGAAAACCATCCACATTGTGTCTTCCCTCTCCTTCGTACGATCGACATCAGGGGCTCACACAAGCTTGTGCGCCTTCCACTGTCAAATCTCCATGCCCTTGCAGGGATCACCGTATCATCGTGCAGCAAGTTAGAGACCATAGTTGGGCTCAAGGAGCGCTGTGAAGTGACTGCTGGGAACGGTGGATTGCAAGCAGGTCAGACTAACGTGCTTCCCTCCCTTCGAAGGGTAAAGATCACTGCTTGCCCTTCACTGGAGGAGCCTCTGATATCGATGCTTCGCCGGCAGACGGAGATCGGCTTCTCCTACTGGGAACAAAGCCCCAGCACCTCTCCCACCGACATCGCTGATTTTGGCAAGACTCCATGGAAAGATTCTGGCAAGGTATAGTACCTCATGTGGATGTGGATTTCTGTTTGGTACCAGATGCTCCTCTTCATGGCACACACCATCCTATGCATGTAATGTAGGAATAAGTCTTGGCTGGTTGGTCTTGGTCTTGTGGTGCCTTTTTTCCTGTTTTTCAGCTTTCTAGGACAGCATCTCTACTTTCAGTTTGGATGCTCTAGGACAGTTAGGACAGCAGTTTGTTGAGATGCTCTAGGACAGTTTGTTGGGATGCTCTGCTCTAGGACAGTTTGTTGGGATGCTGACAGCACCCTCTTAGACTAGCATGGCTGCATGGCTGCTACAAGCAGCTATAAATATGTATCCAATCCTCTTTGGGAGGATATGGCTTTTGTGTTTAGTGAATGAAGAAAACCAGAAAATTGCCCCATCTCGAGTGCCATCCTCTTCTCAATGAGAGTAACCATTGAAATTCTAACATCTGGTATCAGAGCCACACTTTCCTGTAGGCTAAACATCTCTTGTTCCACCCCTTCCCAAGCTCGGTTGAGCTCTCAGCCACCACCAGCAGCAGCAACACCGGCTGCTCCTCCTTCCCCTTTCCCTTCCCCCTCTCCACGCAGCAGCCCCCCGGAGGTGCGCCATGTCCGACGTTCGGTCTCGGCGTTCGGTCGCCTCGAGCACTCGGCGTCAGCAGGACGCCGAGCTCGCCGCAGCAGAAGAGCGCAGGCGAGCAACGGCTCAGACCGCTGCAGCAGCAGCGAGGGCGGCCAGACTGGCGGCAGCAGAGTTGGCAGCAGCCAGGGCGGAGGCAGAAGCAGAGGCGGCGGAAGATGCGGCACGTGCGGCGGAGGTAGAGGTTGAGACCTTGCGCAGCAGCATCAACGGCTCCATCGCCGGCGACATCACCGCTGACAGGGAGCTTGAGGAGCTGGCAAGAGGAAGGGCACGGGAGCGAGCAGAGCGGTGGGCAGCAGCCCACCTCCACGGCGGCGGCGGCGGCCCAAGGGACCGCGCGCCCGCCGACGGGAACCCAGACGGGCGCGGGCGTGCCGGCGGCAGCCCGGAGCCCGCACGCGGCCCTCGCAGGCGGCACGGCTCCCTCTCCCCTGACCGGCGCCATGGTCACCACGGCGTCCAGACGGTGGTCAGGGATTTTGGTCCCGGCGGTGGGTGGCCTACCCTCACCAAAACCAACTACATCGAGTGGGCCGCGGTGATGAGGGTGAGGCTCCAGGTGCGGCACATGTGGGAGGCAGTCCGGTACGGTGACGTCGACTACGACGAGGATCGGCGGGCACTGGATGCCCTCATCGCTGCAGTTCCGCCCGAGATGCAGTTCTCGCTTTCCCAGAAACGGACTGCCAAGGAGGCCTGGGACGCCATCGCTGCGGCACGCATCGGCAGCGACCGCGCCCGCAAGTCCACACTGCAGGCACTCCGCAAGGAGTGGGAGAACCTGGCCTTCAAGCCAGGTGAGGATGTTGATGACTTTGCTCTCCGTCTCAACACTCTCTTGCAAAAAATGGTGCAGTACGGCGACGACACCTACGACGAGGAGAGAGCTGTCGAGAAGCTCTTCCGCTGCGTCCCTGAGAAGTACAGGCAGATCGCTCGCTCGATTGAATCTCTGCTGGACCTCTCCACGATGTCGATCGAGGAGGCGTTAGGTCGCCTCAAGGTCGTCGATGGTGATGAGCCACGGCCTCTCTCGGGGCCCATCACCATCGGCGGGAAGCTCCATCTCACTCGGGAGCAGTGGGAGGCCTCTCAGGGTGACGGGAGGAAGGGGGAGTCATCTTCCCCGACAGGCGGCCGTAAGCCGCGCAAGGCGCGGGGAGGTGTCCAGCTACGGTGGGCGCGAAGACGTGCCGAGGGTGGCGCCCGCAGAGGCGCCCAGGGCGTTGCCACCGGCAACCACAAGCCGGCACGAGACGACACCTGCCGCAACTGTGGCAAGCTTGGCCATTGGGCCAAAGACTGTCGACAGCCACGACGCGGCCAGGCCCACGTCGCACGGGTGGAGGAGGAAGAGCCGGCTCTGCTCCTAGCTCACGCAAGCATCGAGCTACCTCCAGCGGCACCGGCCGCAGCGGCTTTCCTCCACCTTGATGAGCCGAAGGTACTCGTCTCCCTCTGCGACGGCTCCAGCAACGACAAGGCTGATGGGTGGTACCTCGACACCGGCGCCACCCATCACATGACCGGCCGACGGGAGTTCTTCACCGAGTTCGACTCCAGCGTCCGAGGCACCGTCAAGTTCGGGGACGCCTCCGGCGTGGAGATCAAGGGTGTTGGCTCCGTCACCTTCACCGCCAAGTCCGGTGAGCACAGGCTGCTCACCGGAGTCTACTACATCCCCGCGTTGAGGAATTCTATCATCAGCGTGGGACAGCTGGATGAGAACGGCTCACGCGTGTTGGTCGAGGACGGACTCATGAGGATTTGGGATCGCCGTCGTCGCCTTCTTGCCAAGGTAACCAGAGGCACTAATCGACTCTACATCCTCAGCGCGCAAGTCGCACATCCAGTTTGCCTCGCCGCTCGTCGGGACGACGAGGCGTGGCAGTGGCACGAGCGCTTCGGGCACCTCCACTTTGAGGCCCTGAAGCAGCTCAGTGCCAAGGAGATGGTGCGAGGCATGCCGTGCCTTGACCACGTGGAGCAGCTCTGCGACGTCTGCGTGGTGACAAAGCAGCGGCGGCTCCCCTTTCCCCAGCAGACGAGCTTCCGAGCCAAGGAGCGGCTCGGGCTCGTGCACGGGGACTTGTGTGGCCCAGTGACACCGGCCACACCAGGAGGACGACGTTATTTCCTGCTGCTCGTCGACGACCTCTCCCGCTACATGTGGGTGATGGTCCTCGGCAGCAAGGGAGAGGCTGCGGACGCCATCAGGCATGCGCAGGCTGCAGCAGAGGCGGAGTGCGGCCGCAAGCTGCGCGTGCTGCGCACCGACAACGGCGGCGAATTCACGGCGGCTGAATTCGCGTCGTACTGCGCTGATGAGGGCATTCAGCGCCACTACACCGCGCCGTACAGCCCACAGCAGAACGGCGTCGTCGAGCGGCGCAACCAGACGGTTGTGGGGATGGCTCGGGCCCTCCTCAAGCAGAGGGGGATGCCGGCCATCTTCTGGGGGGAGGCGGTGGTGACGGCCGCCTACATCCTCAACCGCTCGCCTACCAAGGCCCTCGATGGCAGGACACCGTACGAGGCTTGGCATGGGCGCAAGCCGGCGGTCTCCCACCTGCGGGTCTTCGGCTGCCTCGCGTTCGCCAAGGAGCTTGGCCACATCGGCAAGCTCGACGACAGGAGCACCCCAGGGGTGTTCATCGGCTACGCGGAGGGCTCGAAGGCCTACCGCATCCTCGACCCGGAGACACAGCGTGTGCGCATTACGCGCGATGTTGTGTTCGACGAAGGGCGAGGGTGGGTATGGGACAAGGCGGTGGATGATGGTTCGACTCCGACGTACGACGACTTCACCATCGAGTACGTCCACTTCGAGGGAGCTGGGGGAGTAGGCAGCTCTTCTTCACCGAGCGTGTCTACCCCAGTCCCCGAGCCTCCACCGACTCCAACACCAACACACCCTCGGGCCACGACTTCGACTACGACGAGCTCGTCGTCGACACCACCCCAGCCGGTGTCCCCACACGCTCCAGCACCAACAGCCACTCCTCCGGGCACGTCTACTCCGACGCCAGCTCGTGTTGAGCGCAGCCCAGTGGAGTTCGTTACTCCGCTCTCCCACGACGGGGAGCGCATCGACGCGTACCATGACGGCGAGCAGCTACGGTACCGTACGATGGAGGATCTTCTCGGCGACCAGCCGGTGCCGGGACTGGTGCCTCGCAACCTGGAGGCGCAGTTGCACCTTGCGTGCGACGACGGTGAGCCTCGGTCTTTTGCAGAGGCCGAGAAACACGCGGCATGGCGTGCCGCGATGCAGTCGGAGATGGACGCGGTTCAGGAGAACCGCACCTGGGAGCTTGCTGACCTCCCTCGTGGTCACCGCGCGATCACCCTTAAGTGGGTGTTCAAGCTGAAGAGGGATGAAGCCGGAGCCATCGTCAAGCACAAGGCTCGCTTGGTGGCACGCGGTTTCGTGCAGCAGGAGGGGATCGACTACGACAATGCCTTCGCTCCCGTGGCACGGATGGAGTCCGTGCGACTCCTTCTTGCGCTGGCTGCTCAGGAAGGCTGGGGCGTCCATCACATGGACGTCAAGTCGGCGTTTCTAAACGGCGACTTGAAGGAGGAGGTCTACGTGCACCAGCCGCCGGGATTTGTGATCCCCGGCAAGGAGGGCAAGGTGCTACGCCTGCACAAGGCCCTCTACGGCTTGCGGCAGGCACCGAGGGCGTGGAATGCCAAGTTGGATTCCACGCTCAAGGGGATGGGCTTCGAGCAAAGCCCGCACGAGGCGGCCATCTACCGGCGGGGCAATGGAGGAAATGCCTTGCTGGTGGGTGTCTACGTCGACGACTTAGTGATCACCGGCACCAAGGATGCAGAGGTCGCGGCGTTCAAGGAGGAGATGAAGGCCACCTTCCAGATGAGTGATCTGGGGCCTCTCTCCTTCTACCTGGGGATCGAAGTGCACCAGGACAACTCCGGGATCACGCTTCGACAGACCGCCTACGCCAAGCGCGTCGTTGAGCTGGCTGGGCTCACCGATTGCAACCCAGCTCTCACTCCGATGGAGGAGAGACTGAAGCTGAGCCGCGACAGCACAGCGGAGGAGGTGGATGCTACACAGTACCGACGTCTTGTGGGGAGCCTTCGCTACCTCACCCACACACGGCCGGACTTGGCCTTCTCCGTCGGCTACGTCAGTCGGTTCATGCAGCGACCGACGACGGAGCACCAGCAGGCTGTGAAGAGGATCATCCGCTACGTTGCGGGGACTCTCGACCACGGTCTCTACTACCCGAGGTGTCCTGGCAAGGCACACTTCGTCGGGTACAGCGACAGCGACCACGCCGGCGACATCGACACCAGCAAGAGCACGAGCGGGATTCTCTTCTTCCTCGGCGAGTGCCTCGTTAGCTGGCAGTCAATCAAGCAGCAGGTGGTGGCCCTGTCCAGCTGCGAGGCCGAGTACATGGCGGCATCCGCCGCTTCGACCCAGGCGCTCTGGCTTGCTCGACTGCTTAGTGATCTCCTCGGCAGAGATACTGGAGCGGTGGAGCTCAGGGTGGATAGCAAGTCCGCTCTGGCCCTGGCAAAAAACCCCGTTTTTCACGAACGGAGCAAGCACATCCGAGTGAGGTACCATTTCATCCGAAGCTACTTGGAGGAAGGGAGCATCAAGGCGAGCTACATCAACACCAAGGACCAGCTTGCGGATTTGCTCACCAAACCCCTTGGGAGGATCAAGTTCCTTGAGCTTTGCTCCCGGATCGGGATGGCTCAACTCTCCCACAA